CCTGCAATAATGCAGGTTATTAGTTAATTTACTTTTGATAGCAAAGAACAAAATATTTAATGTAAAAGTTATTTACCAGGTGAATCAGCTCACACGTCACCACCAAGTGTCACAGGGCCAGAATCAGTAGCCTCCTTCATGATGTCATGATGTAATCACATACTTATTTAATTGTTAATATCTTAAATTCTGAAGTGTTTTAATTTTTTTACCTTGAACAGTTCACTGAGCTTGCACTGTCACCGAGCTGGAAGCTGGAATCAACAGCAGACACCTCACATACTGGTCTTTTCAGGGGTGTGGACGCTGCTCTGGGACTTTCTGGAAGATGAATTTCCGTCATGGTCCCCGTGTCACAAGACACACTGAGGCTGGGAGCTCTAAACTGGGTGGCTATGTAAAAATCTAGAAGTAGCACATTTATAAATGTTTAAAAGAGCATAAAATCACGTGTAACAATAATCTGTAAAACAAATTAAAACTAGAAGGTGATAATAAAATGTTTACATAGAAGATTATTAAAAAATAATTCACCTTTGCTACGGGTAACACTTCACGTCAGCGTGGACAAGTGCATTCTTGCAGCTAAATCAGTCTGACAGCCAGTGTCTTGAGTAGATTTAGCCTGGAAAAAAATAGAAGCACATTGTTGTTGGAGTTTATAAAGTCAGATAATATACGAAAGAAACTGTCCTATATAGGCTCTTTATAACATTCCTAGTGTGTGATCGTTATTGTAACGTAAAAGTCAGTCATATGATGTGGAGAGCCTGAAATGCGACCTCCTGAACAAAATTCCTCACGGAACCGGGTCACAAGCTGGATTTCACGCTGTAATGCTGTCTGTCAACTAGTGCTGCGTTAGTTAGAGCCACTGTTGCAGAATTACCGACTGACACAAAAGCAACCCGAATTTTCTCCGAGCCTGACAGTTAGTCATGTGGACCATTTTGTCGGCCAGGGCTTCGAGACATGTTCCGATTCGCCGCTGATTCTAACCAGGCCTGGAGTGGCTAATCAGGAGGGTCTGAAGAATTCCCGGTGGGCCGCGTGATGTTTGGGCCGCATGGGCCGGCGCTCTCGTTTTTGTTTTTTATCATTTTATTTTTATTTTTTGGTGCCGGTGTTCAATCATGGCACTGAGGCCGCCGGGCTAATCTCATTCACTCCTCCCTGTTGTCTCTGGCTGGCTCTACCTGCAGGCTGCAGCTCGTTTTTTTTCCCTGTATGCGCCTGTGCGCACCACGTGACATGCAGTTGATGGAAAGATAGAAAGTAGAAAGAGCAAGGGTGGCACGCAGAAGGCAAGAATTAAAAAGAGGAAAGCGCTGGAAACAGATGCAGCTAAATGTGCAAAAATGAGCACCTTTTTTTCTCAAACAAGCTCGCGGTCTTTAACTTCAAATGAAGATAAAACGGGTAAGGCAAGTCAAGATCAGAATCAGAAAAACTTTTTCCCCGAGGGGCAATTAAAAAAAAATAACAACAGAGCAGCATGATGTTGGACATACGAACATTGAATAAATAGGCAATAAGATATAAAGCAGCAAGAAGATGGATTAAACCGAAAAATATGCAAAAAACACTGAGTAAGTGAATAAAGTGACTAAAGTGTCGTCTGTATAAAAGTTAAATATATGGAGAGCCCAAGGAGCGGGTTTATCGGGGGATGGTCTTATCTTATCTGCTGGAGTTAAAGAGCAGAATGGTTTTGGGGACAAAGGTGGCTCTTCTCCTCTCAGTCTTACAGGAAATGCAGCGTAGGCGTCGCCCAGAGGGGAGCCATTGAAATGCGGGGTGAAGAATGTGAGAGGGGTAGTGGAGGATTTTGGCTGCCTGTCTCAGGGCTTGTTGATAGAAAACCTGAGCAAGAGTTCTGACAGGCAGGCCAACGATTTTGGAACACACTGATGCAGTGTGCTGCAGTCTGTTCCTGTTCTGGAGGCTAAGAGAGTAGAACCAGCAAGTGATGAGAAGGTCAAGATGCTTTCCAGGAAGGCACAGTAAAAGGTCATCATGATTGAGGAGCTGATTCCAAAGGAGTTGAGCTTCCTACGGAGATATAGCCGTTGATGGCACTTTCTGAGAATCTCTTCTGTGTTAGCAGAGAATTTCAGGAGGTTGTCAAAGGTGGTTCCCAGATACTTGTACTCCTCCACTACCTCCTCTGGGTTCCCATGGATAATGGTGGTTACTGAAGCAGCCGGATCCCTCTGCCTCCTGCAGAAGGTCACCACCATGTTTTTGGTTTTGCTCACATTCAGTTCAAGTTTGGAGCTGTCACACCACTCTACAAACTCCTGAAGATCAGGTCCGTGGTGTTGTGAGGAGCCTGACAGCAGTGATAGGAGGACTGTATCATCAGCGTATTTCACCAGGTGACAGTTGGGATGTGTGGATCTGCAGTCGTCGGTGTAGAGGATGTAGAGCGGGGGGGGCACAGCCCTGGGGGGAGCCGGTGGAGGTGGAACGGAGACCGGAGAGACAGTTGTTGACCTGAACTTTCGGAGTCCTGTTGGTTAAAAAGTCCAGTATCCACAGGGCTAACTGGTCATCCAAATGAAATTAGGAGGAAAGTTTAGTAGCCAGGATGTGAGGCTGCAGAGTGTTGAATGCTGATGAAAAGTCAACAAACAGAAGTCTGGCCAAGGAGTCAGGGAGCTCCAGATGTTTGTGGATGGAGTCCAGGATGAAGATTTTTGCACAGACAAAACAGACTAAGGAGCACTTTGACCCAGAAGAAGCTTGAGGCCTTCATGCTCATGTGCACTGAGAAAGAAAATCTCATGTCTTTGGACAATGATACAGTAATAAAGTCGCAGAGACCAGTGCACTTCTCAAGCGTTTATTATTGTTGTAGGTTGGGCATGTGTTTTTGAAACTACTATGCAAAGGAAAAACAAGATAATGAAGAACCCTTTTTAGGGGGTATAATGGCATCATTACAACATTATCTTATACTGTGAATTGCAAACTTGCAGAAAACAGTGCAATTTTTTCATTCTTTGTTCATACTGATTAGATGTCTGTGAACACTAATTGATTGGTATTTGATGTAGCAGAAAAGGACAATTTGATGTTGTAAAAAGTGTTATGGAGCTTATTTGTTAAAACTAAGTTGTGGTGAAACTGTTTTCTTACAGAGAAAAAAGAAACTAGTGCTAATAGAAAGTGCAACACTTTATTTTATGTATCACTATTTGAAATCTATATTTTCATTTATTATTTTATTTCATTTTAAAGGTTTGAAAATCTCAGAACAGCTGTTTGAACAGAATGTAGATTGTTTTATTGTTAGAGAATGTGTTGTAAAGAACAATGTTGGAGATGTGCACTGATGTTCAAATAAACCTACATTGTAAAGCAACTCTTTCTTGCACTGAATTACAAGGCTTTACCGAGTAGTGTGCTTTTATAGACTATACATATGAAGTTGTAACATGATTTTAATAATAAGTTGTTAAGTGGGCCGGTCTGGGGTCTGAAACTCCAGGGCTGAAAATGTGTCCCACTCCGGCCCTGATTCTAACCATCCCGTTCCAAAGGCAGTGCAGGCTGATATTAGCTAAATGGAGTGAACCACGTCTCTCAAACTTTGCATTTAGGTAGGGAATTGTCTTTAGAAGATGTTAAAACTTTTATTTAGCTTACTCACCTCAGACTGGAGCGTGCCATGGTGGGGGAGCAGAGTCGGTGGGCTGCATCTAAATCGCGGAAGAGCCACGGTGGGCACAGCCTCCCTCTTCAAACGGAGATGTGCAGAATCGCGGGTAAAATGCTGGTTGCAAACTACAGCACCAGGCGGGAGCTGAATGTTTTCCAGACACCGATTGCGCGCAACCACTGGCGCCTAATTTCTAAGTCCAGTGGAAAGGAGTGCAACCCCACAGAGCCACCGCAACCACACTACACTACACCTTCTCACCATACTAACACGACATGGAGCACTAAACCTGAACTACTTTCCTAATTACACTAACAGCCAAACACTAACTAAACTACAATATCCAACAGCCAAGCTAACACTAAATAAGTATGTATAACACTAAAAGCTATGCTAAAGACTAGGATATGCTAATGCTATATGCTAATGCTGAACTACAGCTACCTCCTACACTCGCTTGCAAATCCAACTCCCAACTCGCCACAAGGCGTGGCCGAGACTCTCGATGCGTTTATAACTTTGACACAGAGCTGCTACGTAGTACTCTACTGGTTTACGTAGTATCTTACTCTTTAGCCATTGGCTAAAATTTATTCAAAATGACTCAAATTCTATGTTTTAAGCTGAAGGTGGCGCTATACTGTGGTATTTAGGCAGAATTTTTAATTAGAAAAAATGCACCAAAATGCTAAAATAATGAATACACACATTTAAAACACTATCAGACACTCATTTATACAGTTCATCAGCAAAAAAAAGTTAATTTAGACGTTACTTGCTCTTTCAGTTTAAGGGCAAAGTCAGTCTAGAGGAAAATAATAAATCTGTAGTAAAAGTAAAGTGAATGTTATCGCCTCCCATAATATTATTGATTGTTTCCCTGGAAACAACACTGTTTGTTTGTTTGGAACTGAGCCTTTTTCTGAATCTAAAACAGAAACTCACAATCTCTCAGAATTGTTTATTTTTCTAACTATCTTTAATTACAATTTTCATTTTCTTATTTTATGATGCAAAGAGCTAAGATTAAAGAATTTGAGTTGTTAATATATCAGACAATATTTAATTTCACACTGATTTTCATTTTCATCTCCTATCTGATCTCCATTAAAACTGCAGCAAACATCTCAGAAAAGCAAATGGAACCTCTGAGAGGAGGACGAGACTTGTAGATTCAGAAACAAACTCAGTTTGCTATATTATATTATAAATTATGTAAATGTAACTTATTGCTTTAAGGCCAAAATTGTGCTTTTTATTATAATAAAATAAGTTCAAAGTACCAAGTCATATCACCTGAGAGTCAGTTAATATTTAAGCAAACAAAAGCTGTATTTAAGGCTTGAGTCACACAGAAAGCACAAAGCTGACCTGCAGAGCCTGACAGGAAATGGATGTAACAGTGATTTTTACACTGTTGTTAATCTGCTCTCTTACTGAGGCTCAGCTTCAACAACAACCTGATCCTGACTCAAATTCATATTTGAAGCCAGCAGGTTCACACGTAGAAGCAGGAAATCCCTCAGAGCACCAACAAACATGTACACGGGACATCAGTGCTGTGCTGAGAGAGATGAGCGCCTCGCTGGCTGGACTGAAGGTGGAGGTGAAGTACTTACAGAAAGAAAATGAAGGTATGTTGACTAAGTACAGCTAAAGTAACTTCATAGAAATAGCTTGATTTTTTTTTTCCTAAACACTAACAGCTAAAACACGAGAACTGGAGCTGCAGAAGCAACAGGACCAAGGTAACTGTTTAAAAACCAGTTAATTGTTTTCTTAATTTTCTAGCAAATGAAAAAGAACTGGAGTTACAAAAGAGAGAGCTGGACAAGTTGAAGCAACAGGACCAAGGTATTGGAAACGGTGATGAAAAAACAGTAGATGTAAAAGTTACAAATCTGAAATAAGAAGGACATTTTTACTTGTAAGTGCTACTTTTGGTTACTGTTTAAAAACCAATTAATTGTTTTCTAAAATTTTCTAGCAAATAAAAAAGAACTGGAGCTGCTGAAACAACAGGACCAAGGTATTGGAAACAATGAAAAAAACAGTAGATGTAAAAGTTACAAATCAGAAATAAGAAGGGCCTTTTTACTTGTAAGTGCTACTTTTGGTTACTGTTTAAAAACCAGTTAATTGTTTCTAAATTTTCTAGCAAATAAAAAAGAACTGGAGTTACAAAAGACAGAGCTGGACAAGTTAAAGCAACAGGACCAAGGTATTTACTGTTAATCATTTATTGTTAAGTGAACTAATGGATTTTTTTAAAACATTACACATCTATATTAATCAGGACAAAAACAAAACAAACAATGTTCATCTTTATAAGACCCTAGTCAAATTGTTCATGTATAATGTACAGTGAAAGCTGTCTGGTTTAAAAAATTTTTTCTTATTGTTTTTGCTTTCTGTAATTTCAGCTCATGAAGGAGAACTGATCACCATTAAAGCCTCCGCAAACATCACTGAAAACCAAGTGGAGGCTCTGAGGAGAGAAGGAGAAGGTTTGTTAACCCTCTGGAGGCAGATGTTGCAGATTTGCATTGTTAAAACCTACCTACCTGGTTACTCCACAAACGTATTTCATGAGCAGTTTTAAACTCAGAAGTAGCCCTGAAGTACTTAGTTGTTCATCCTTTTATCAAAACTTATTTTGAGCCTGAGAGGGTTAATGTACTGTACATACATACTGGTGGTGCTCTCTCTCCGAGTGTGTGTGTGTGTGTGTGTGTGTGTGTGTGTGTGTATTACTGGATTCTAAAAGGTTTTAGAACTG